CTTGAGGTATGTGTGCTTAGATTCAGATGCGCGTTAAAGAACCCCGGGTGCTCTAATTTTCCGGAGCCTTCTTCTTCTGCGTCTCTCATAGTACCTATAATCATATCGAGGGTTTCGGATGTTAAACACTGACAATTACTATAGTATTTTAGCCGACATTACAAAACAGCCCCGCCGTGGTGGTCTAGTGGCTAAGGTACTCGGCTGCTGACCCGCACGTCGCGGGTTCGAATCCCAGTTGCGGCGGCTGAATTTCCGATGGAGGCGGAAATGTTGTAGGCCCGTGTACTCAGATTTGGGTGCACGTTAAAGAACCCCAGCTGGTTGAAATTTCCGGAGCCCTCCACTACGGCGTCTCTCATAATCATATGGCGGTTTCGAGACGTTACACCCCACATATCAATCAACATTAAAACAGTATGTGACACTTCGTTAGTGAACAAAAGGCTACTATAGCGGGCGTTCTGCTTTGTAAGTCAGTTCTGGTACACATTTAGCCAACCATTAAAATATGTGTAGCCAGCATTACATATATTAGCTAGCCAACATTCGTAACCAGTGCGGGCTACAAGTATGAGTGCAAACATGGTAGACTAGGACAATGTGGTCCATTCGCCAATCGCATAGTAAGTGCAAAAACAATTCACTCGCGTATTAAAATTAAACAATCTCGTTCATAACACCCCCAGACAAACATTCGCCGATATTGTAGACGAGCGTGACTCGTACGGGCCAAACGAATGTGCTCTGCATAGAGAAGAAGACAAGCGCAAAAGTGGACGCATACGATTCGGAAGGCTGCGCAGCGCACAACGGCAGCAGCGGAGATTTCTCAGGGGCCCCATAAAAACCCAGCCGAGGTGATTTGGTACGAGCGATGCTGCAGCGGGGGGTGCCATCGACTCGCTCTGACAATGCGGCAGAACCACCCTGTGAACGACGTTCCGACTATCGGCTATTCAGCTCCGTCTGCTGCCACTGACGCTGCCGTCGAGGACGTTAGCAACGTTAGTTAGCTTAAGAGTTTTTTTTTTTTTCACTCTTACATCGCCTTCACAAGGAAAAACTGAATATCTAGCAGCTGTAATGGTTCGAAAATATATACAGATGGGTGCGGCAGTTCATGGAAAAAAACTGCTCCCAGTACTACTTCATGCACAACTTCCTCATTTTTCTTTCTTCCTCGGGCTTCCTTTGTTTCGCTGTGCCGAATAACCTCCGAGGACCGAGAAAGTATGCAAATGACATTTAGCTCACACTCCCTTTTCTTCGGCATTTACGCAAAAATGGACGAGTGCTCATGCACTTCTTGTTTTCTTCTAGTCAATAACTGTTATTCTCTTCGTTATTTTTATTTATTTTTGCAAGCGAACCTCTGGTACGTTTCGAAGTCTTTCATGCCGCTTTGATTGACATCCTTCCCTCCTCCACTTCAACCCTTCTCTTCTAGTTTTAGTGCCTGTTTCGTCATCGTCGTCTCCCGACTTGTCGAGTGGAAATGACGCTCTTGCCCCGAAGCCTATTTCCGTGCAAGGTTGTCTAATAAGAAACCCGCAGAGACTGACGAAAGCGACATTGACGACGACTACTGCTGGGCTGCAAGCCTGCGAAACCGCTTGGAAGTACAAAAAGAAGGAGAAAGTCCCCTAAACAGGCCTGCAGGCCGTTGTCGCCGTTGTCAGATCTCTCTTCGTGGCCACTCGGCAGTAAAAAGAAAGATCCCGGGTATTCAGTGTTGCCTGCCTATCGAAGTGAACAAAAAAAGGCGAATGCAACGAGACAAAGGAAACGGGTTGGTTGGTCTCCGAGAAATTGTGCGGAACAAAGAGCGAGAGACGGAGAACCTGGAGGAACCCTCTTTTTGCAGCTGAAAGACTGCTGCGGTTTTGTCTTTAACAAACCGCGATGATTGTTTAAAGCCTTCACCATCCTGGTCGCCGATGGTGCCAGCTGTACCCCCCCTTAATGGCGCTGACAGGAGAAGTGAACGACTACGAGCTATTTCGCTGAGTGGTGAGGCTTTGAAGTTTGTGCAAAAAACGCCCCCGGCAGATCCTCGAGCCTAAACTATGTTTACTGACACGTTCTGTTGACACATATTGGGACATTATCTCGCTGGAAAGTGCTGCATTTCACTGCAGAATTTAACTGCATCCGTGAACGTCAGATGATGGGTGAAAACTCTTTCCTGTGCAACAACACTGACAAGTTTTTTTTTTTTACTGGTGATGGGGGGAGATTGGTGGGGAGAAAGAATGTAGCACTACATCGACATAACAGAACGACGAACAAGACACTCGAAGCTCGCAAGGAAGATGTTGTTTCCGTGTGAATATGATTCATGTTTTTCTGTTTTGTTGTAATGTTCTTTTATATCGTCCCTGTAGTTTTGTGGTAACAAAGACAGCTCGCGGTGCTCGGAGGCTGATGCGAAAGTCGTGGGTTCGATACCATGCGCGGCGGCTGAATATCAATGGAAGCGACATGCTAGAACCCCGTCTGCTGTGCATTGTCAGCGTCGTACGTTAAAAAACACTATATGGCTGAAATGTTCCGTGCCTTTCGCTAAGGCGTACTTCATGGTATTATTGTGGTTTTGGATCGCATACCCCCTCAAAAAAGTTAAAGGGTCGAAGAGCTTGCGTATAGCTCCGCTCTTGTGAGCCTCAAGAGGTAGGTCCTCTTTTCTGTTTGTTGTTACATAACGCAAGTGCTTCTTGCCACCAAACAGCTTAGGGGGTGTACAAACGCGCGCATATGCATTTTGAAATGTCGTTGACTGCCTACTGCTTCAAATGGGCCGACAATGTGTGTTTAGAAAAAGTGGCTAACGATTTGAAGTACTTGGTACTCTACCATGAGAGAGCATAAAAACTGTCCCTCTTCGGCCTCACATGAAGTTGAAATTGGGGTAAACGCTTTTCTTAAGGGCGCGTGGCAATCTCCTGTAAAACTAGCAGTGTGTGTACGGGGGTCTTGGGAAAATTAGTTGAGGGCTGGTGTTCTTGTATGTAGACAGATGAGAAACGTAACAGCTCATTTATTTATTGTTCAGACGTAAAGACACTTTTTACACTCGCACAGTCATCCACGCAGCATCCATCCAAACGTGAATGATAAGACGTGGAGACAAACGTGAAATGCCGGAACTCAATTATAACAAGCAGTCGTTTTTGTTTTTTAAATATACAGAACCAATCAGGCACACTGTGAATGTTTTGACATCAAACAGAAAAAAAATAACGCAGTTCTTTTTAAAATGTAACCCAACATACAATATTCAATGACGTTGGCTGTCCAACAGTTTTCATTTCTCGCCATTACCATTTAAAGAAATGAACAACAAAGTAAAGTGATACTTGTGACATGCACAGTACTAGATTTCGCATAGAGATATTTACATTATCGCACATTCAATAACACATTCTCTCCACATAACTTTAATACTCCCTGCTGCCTTAACGCGTCTCCTGGAATCAGATATTTCTGCTTGTTTCGGGGCACGTGACGTATTTGAATCAACATTTCAGGTGTTTTGCACGGTAACCTGAGATAAACGGAGAAAAATGATGGAAGCAGCAAAACCACTAGGTTTCCGTAACAGAGCTGCGTAGTATTTACTTGGGTTTTCATCTCGAACACTGATTGTTTTTTTTTTTTGCGGCTTCTGGTGATTAGGTGCAAACACTCTGAAAGCGCGACAACACTGCGCGACAACACAAGCGGCGGCTCGTTACACATGCGTAATACGGCGAGCGTTAAAGTTCTCGAGCATAAGTAGCCTTGCATGGCAGGCTCGTAATTGGACCTCCTGGTCATTATCATGAACGAACAGACGAGAGGAATGATTTTATGCTTAGACGAAAACTTACAACTAGTAATGATGTAGTTAGAGAAAAGGCATTTTCTGAGACATTGCACTCTGGAGTACGCAGAGATGCATAAGGGGTTTCTCCGAAAATGGCCGGAAATACAAGAGCCAGAAATACAGGGGTGGCACGTGTTTTTACGAAATTGGAAACATGACAGAAATATATTTTTACAGGGGATGTTCAAATGAGAAGGTACGAAGTATCCCAAAAACGTTACCATTGACACAGGCACCTATGCCGCTTTGGGAGAACGTAGCCAGACATAGGGATGCGATTCAATGCCCCGTCGTGGACTTGAGCACGCGGGGGCGCCCGTACGCGCAGGAGAGGGTAGATACTCTTACAAAGAGTGCCGTCCAACCGACGAAGAAGCGCGCGCAAGGACATGATGTCGTTCCCATTGCGAAATTTGGCGATTGGGGAGAAGTGAGGCGTTGTTCGATTTCCGGCAGCAGGAGGTGTTGAATCAGCCGCCACTCATCGCCACATGGAAGCCGTATACGAGGAACACTGGTTCTCCGACACGTCTTCGTTAAAATGGAGCGCCCGTTTTCTAGAAGACCATAAGAGCTTGGTTGACGACTGGTGATCAGGCATGCAATCACGGCCGATCTCATCAACAACGTGGGCAGCCTAGGGAGTAGTGGTTGGCGGATTACATTGCGGATGTTGACGGTACAAAAAAAAAAACACGTGAAAAAAGTATATGAAATAAACAGGAAAAACATCTGGAATTGAAGCGGTCAGCTTGGCGATTCATTCGAGGACGCTGTGAGGCACTATAGGGACGTCACGATCACAAGAACTGAAGGAAAAAAATTTTTTCGGCTCGTTTATCAATGGGATCTTTGTGCTCAGGCTTATATGGTGTATACTTTGACAAAGTACTCGTTTACGCCCACAGTGTTGTTTCGTACCTTTTCATTTGAACAACCCTTGTATGTACATTGTAGCAGTACCGCAGTACGTCGTTATGCTGTCATTCGAATAGTGTGTTTCCGTATGGCAGGCCCGTTACTGACCCCTCTTTTGTGTTTCCATTTGTGCGCTACAACGACAAATCATAATAGATGTTCCAAGAGTTTAATTCATTGCAACTCCACCACAAACTATGATCCCTTTTTATTACGACTCTGGAAACTTTTAATTTGCCATTTGTGTCTTCTTTGTAAAGCTTGGGTGAAAATTATGTATGCGCACTTAGGAAACTCGAATAATGTTCTTCATGTATGCAAACCACCAAGAAAAGACAGAAGATATCTTTTAGATGTTTGCTCATACAAGTTCCCGTTTTTTTTTCTTACTGCCATCTTCTTAACTAATGCTGCTTCTGTGAAGTTTGCCAAAATTATAAATGTATAGCATTGCACAAGACAACCGTCTGTGCTGCGCTTACGTCACTAGCAAGCACATTGTCTAATGCTCACAACGTTTGAGCGACGAAAATTCAATAAATTTGTTATAACAGCTCAAAGATATGACGCTGGTACTGTGCATCGCGGTCTTCCAAAGCCTGACGTGCCCTCTCTAACAGGAAATCTTACGATGAATACGCTTTTTAGCGCATTTTAACAATTCATCACGTCACATGGCACATCCTTTGTAGGCAGCGTCTCGATCTATAGGTTGGCACGAACGGAGAGGCATGAAACGGTTTTGGTGGTCGCAGGGAATCTCGCAAGGTCTCAGCAGAAGAAGAACCATGGCTATTGCACGCGGTGAGTTTTTTTTCTTGTACATCCCGAATCCAGGCATCGTCGCAGCAGTGTCCATCATAGCTCCAGAAGAACAAAGCAGACAAGTAGACTGGACAGAAAAGGTGCCAGTATGGACATTCCTTCGTTGGACGCTGCAAACATTGTGGGACCCGGAAAAGAAAGAAAGAAGAGGGAAAAGGAGAACAAAAAACTGTCAGTGCGATTGACATATCACAGAGGACAATAGCGCTGTTTACAGTACTCAGTTCCCTAACGAATAGATCTCATTTAGTGTTTGTCAGTAAATTTTGTCGCAATGTTAAGAAGCAGACGTTTGCGCCAGACCGTTATGCAATGCAGCTTCACCTCCAAGCCATCTTTCTTGGTATGAGAAAGTGCTTACGAAAATGCACATGCTTGTGTCTTGTTTCATTTTTTTTCGTTTCTGAATCTCTAAAGTGTCCTGGCAGACAACTCAGGGGAAGCCGACTTCCCTGGCTAAAGTTCTTAACTATTTGGAGCCACAAATCTCAGACTTTTGAGTACTGAAAATGCTGGATGCTATCCTAGGTGCTCCATATATGATACGGTCTCCCTGCTTTACACTACCATGCAAACAGGCCTTCTACTTTAACACTCAATAAAGATAGGTGCATCATGGTGAACCACAATACATATTCAGCCATCTCTACTTACGTCCCAGCCACAACCAAAGGAAAAAAATGACAGCATATCCACTGGGTGAATGATGGAGAGTGCAGCGAAGCTGGGTCCGAAAGCCTCTGCCGCGCCGCTTCGGCATCCCTTTCTCGCACTCCGGGGCCTTGTCGGCGCTGCCGCGAAGCTTCACGGCACGCTTCTGCCTCGCGCGCTCGCACATCGGCACTCCATCTTCGAGCACGAGCCGCCGCCGCCTTGTGCGTATGATACTTTTTATCGGCAAACCGTGAATAATCTGCTGGCCGCATCTGTCCGTCGTCTGTATGTCTGTTTGACGCACAGACGAACGGACGCATAGGGACGAATGCGCGGATGGACACACGGATGGATGGACGCACGAACGGACAGATGCATGGACGGATGCATGAATGAATGGACGTACGCACGGACGGACGTATGAACGCATGGACGGACAGATATACGGGTGAATAGACGCATGGATGGACGCATGAGCGTATACGGATGAACGCATGGATGGATGCACGAATAGACGGACGCACAGATGAACAAATGGACGCACGGACAGACGCACGGATGGACGGAAGCAAAAACGAATGGACGGCCGGAAGCACGGATGGAATGATGGACGCTTCGCCCCACTCATTAGCCTTCACTCCATGGATATGCTGTGATTTTTATTATTTATCATACTACAAGTAACGTCCTCTAGTATCATACCATTTGCATTTTTCAGCGTATATGCATTTTGTTATGCGTACAAGTACCACCCTCTACGACCAGTTCAAGAACTAACGAGAGGTGGCTATATACGATCACGACGAGATGCTCGGCCCACGACTTAAGAAGCTTCGCTCCTAAAGAAATTTTCCCCCCTTCTCCCGCAAGTATAGAAAAGCAATGCGGGCTTGTTGGTGAATCCTTTAAACAGGTTGATGTAGCGCACATGACACGCGGACACTGGAAAGTACATAAGTGCTTTGTGGCGTCCTTATGCGCCCACTAGTGACCATGTGTCGGTTCGCACTACGTTGAAGGAAAAAAGAAAAAGCTCTTATATCTCTATATATCTTATATCTTATATCTTATATCTCTTATATCTCTTATATCTCTTATATCTTATATGGAAAAACAGAACTCGAGGTGGCTGAAGAATTTTGCACGAGAGTTGCCGGGAATATTATGAACGAGAGCATCGACGCCGTGATCGTTCCTGAGACGCGATTACCAGAAATGGGCATTCCGTTCACCATGGAAGAACTGGAAGGTGCGTTAGTCGCTTCTAAGCGCATGTCATCGCCAGGTCCTGATGGTATTACTTATAGTGCGTTGGGACACCTTGGACAAAAAGCCAGAAAAGAACTTTTAACATGTTTCAACAACTCCTGGCTCAGCGGCAGTGTTCCTCGAGAATGGAAAATAAGTCGATTAATACCACTTTTGAAATCGGGAAAATCACCATTGGACTTGACAGCGTATCGCCCTATTGCCCTCGCAAGCTGCCTCGGAAAAGTGATGGAAGAATGGTTCTATTCGTCTCGAGTGGTACTTGGAACGATACACCAAATACCCTTCTTGCATGGCAGGCTTTCGTCGGGGCCCGCTCCTCCATTGACGGTGTCCTTGACTTATCGACATTTGTTCAACAAGAAAAAAGTCGCAAGCGCATATCAGTAGCACTCTTTCTTGACGTGAAGGGTGCATATGATAATGTAGCTCACGATGCCATCCTCACTTCTCTCGCAGCAATGGGCATTGGTGGACGAATGTTTCAATGGATAAAAGATTATATAACTGGCAGAGGTTTCTTTGTACAAACAGATGAGGGTACAACTGCCCAACATTACACCTACTGCGGAGTACCTCAGGGAGGTGTTTTAAGCCCCACATTGTTCAATGTGGCCCTCATTGGTCTGGTGAAGGTTCTTCCAAAGTCGGTGTGCCTATCCATATACGCCGATGATGTTTGCCTCTGGAGTGCTGCAGTTACTCGCCCTCAGGTGCGTGCACGGATACAGCGGGCAGCAACCCTCACAACAGCCTACCTTCAGAAAAAAGGCCTAACTATATCAACTGTGAAGTGCGCGTTGATGGCGTTTACACGCAAACCAATGACGCCATACCCTGTTTACATCAATGGGCAGAGTGTCAAATATGCACGGACGCATCGTTTCCTGGGCATAATAATCGACAGAAGTCTTTCGTGGAGCCCACATTGTGCGTACTTGAAGAAGAGACTGCTATCTATTGTGCATATCATGAAATTCTTGTGCGGTAAAGCATGGGGAACTTCTGTGGCCTCCATGCTACAGCTGTACAGGGCCCTATTTCTGGGTCTATTGCGCTACAGCTTGCCGGTACTGACTAACACTTGCAAATCGAATACTCATTCATTGGAGAGTTTGCAGGGTCAGGCACTGCGTATCTGCCTAGGACTGCCCCGATGCGCTTCTACTTACGCCACAATCATGCTTGCCAAAGACCATCCGGTCAGGACATATATAGTTGTGGATTGCCTCAGAGCGCACATTCGACATGCTAGCCGTGTCCCCGACCACCACTTGGCCCTTCTACCTTCCGGAAGACCACGTGCTACGTTTCAGACGTCATAGCCAGCACAGCATTCCATCAGGATATACGCCAGCTGCGAGAACGGCTTGTCCTTTGTGGTGCCTCGACCAGCCGCAAGTACGTCTAGAAATTCCGGGAATCAAAAAGAAAAGCAGTCACTCCAGAGTAGCATTTAAGCAAGCAACACTGCTATTATTACATGAGTTGTACTTAGACCGAACGCAGATATACACTGATGGGTCCATCTCATCCAGCAGCTCATCAGGTGCCGCTGTGATTCCGGCTGCAGAAATGACAATCAAGTTTAAGTTGTCGCATGTGACTACATCTACGGCATCAGAGCTTGCTGCTATAAGGGCTGCTTTACAATATCTCGTTCAAGAACGTCCAGGAAAATGGGTCATATTCTGTGATTCGAAGGCAGCGCTTCAGAGTTTGCAGTCTGCCATGCGTAGGAGGAGTCATGACCAACTGGTACAAGAAATAAGACATTGCCATCATGAGGCTCTTGCACGAGGGCATGATATTATATATCAATGGCTGCCTGGACATATCGGTATTACCGGAAATCAATTAGCCGATGATGCAGCCCACTCAGCCCATGAAGAAACCCGTGTAGTCCCGATTCCTCTATCAAGGAATGATGCAGCAAGACAACTTACCTGCTGGCTCGAGATCTCACACGCACGTTCTGGTCGTCTACCAGCTTCCAAAGGTGTCAATTTTATGAACTGGATCCTTCGCTCAAGCTTAAGCTACCATCACAACTTTCCCGCTCCGATGCGACACTGTTATGCCGCCTTTGGTTGGGTGTTGCATTTACAAAGGTGTACTCCTTTCGCATTGGTATGGCAGACACTCCTACATGCCACTACTGCGGAGCTGAAGAGACCATCGAACACGTCCTGTGCAGTTGCGCTTGCTACGACACACAGCGATGCCAGCTCCGGATGGTTTTGAATCGACTTGACCCCGGACCATTTTGTGTGCAGAAGATACTAGGACCTTGGGCATCTGCCTCAGTTGCGCAGAAAGCAACAAAAGCACTGCTACTTTACCTCAAGTCAACAACCCTGAGCGACCGCCTGTAGACTGTGTGTGCTCCCCGAGTGTTCTCGTGATTGTGTGTGCCTTCTCATCTTTCTGCAACCTCTTTTCTCCCCTTTATCCCTTCCCCAGTGCAGGGTAGCAAACCGGATGTGCGTCTGGTTAACCTCCCTGCCTTTCCTTGCATCTTTATCTCTCTCTCTCTCTCTCTCTCTCTCTCTCTTATATCTCAGGCTCCTTCTTTCCTTTATTCGGAATGTCTTTCGCAAGCTATGCACAGTTGAATAACTGTCAAGTACGTTCCTATTTTCCTGCAGTGATTGAAACTTATTGTGAGCACCCAAAAAGGTAGATATGTATGTCCCTGTAGGCTTACAGGTGCTATAGTTCAATCAGGACACTTGCTTGAGTCACACGAAAAATGATGATTTGTTTTTAATCCGCTTTATATTACATTAAACAAGAGGGTTACGGACGCACTCTATGAATTTATGTACTTGAATATAAATATATGCTTATTTCCCCTTTGCGATTCACCGTCTGATTTTTCGCTTCACTCTCGTTCAGAAACATCGTACATATATACTGCAAAGCAAACTATTTCTTACTAATGCTCATCTCGTGGCATCATAACTATGTGGTTGTTTACATTAGTCGAGTAATCATTTTATCAACTAAGATTGAGACCTTGGAAAGCATTTTCTTTACTTGATATTTTTTATTTTTGTATTTACTGTGGTTAAAAGGCCAGGATGTGATATGAATTATACGATTCGCTAGTTACAACAAAAACTTCTACATATTTGTCAGTGAAGCGCTAAGTTAGCACTAAGTTAACACTAAGTTGGCACTAAGTTCTGCAAAACTTGGCTCAGCAAAGCTCGTTGGTCCACATACCTTCGTGCAGCATAACGAGAATGAAAACACCAACGGTGAATGGACTCAGCGTGCTTGACCAAAGGAGCGGCAATAAAGAGATGGTTTCGGTCGCGTACGCAATACACTCAAGCCTTGCCACTCTGGATGTGTTGGAATCTCTGTTTCTGAGCCACGATGTATTAAATTGTTAAAGCAAAGCTATGGCCCGGCGTTGGCTGGGCTATGTTAAACGTAGGTGGAGCGCACATAGGGTGGTTGCGGCAATGCGGTCTTGTGCATGAGATCAGAAGTTCAAGCAAGATTAGAAATTAAGCAACGTGGAATAGGTAGGCTTGCCTTAGGAGCTCACGGGAATACACCAAATTAGCGAGTACAAGGTGATATGGGATAGACATCATTTGAGGGCAGGGAAGCTAGCAGCAAAATAAAATTTGAGAAGCGATTGAGAGAAATGGGGGAGGAGCGTTGGGCTAGGAAGGTATTCAGGTACCTGTACATGAAGAATGTCAATACAAAATTGAGGAAGCGAATAAGAAAATTGACTGGTAGATACTTAGAAAACAGCAGGGGGCCAAACCAAAATTTCCCGCAGCTTCCCTCGGGGGAACACTAAGGAGGATGCGGACCATATAATTGGTTAACGGGGTGTTAAAGTGCGACTTACTTGGGTCGATGGCTAAATTGGTTAACGTGGTTGTGAAATGGGGTGTTAAATTGCGACTTACTTGGGTCGATGGCTAAATTGGTTAACGTGGTTGTAGGAGGGGGTGTTAAATGAGTGAACACGTACACACGTATGCGAAAGGGCGGCGCTGGTCGAAGGGACGTCGATCATTGTGTTTGTGGATTCGTTGGAATTCATTTCACCGCGACCTTGGACGTCGACGCGCCGTACAAACCAACCGACGAGCGGCAACTGAGCGAGCGAGCGCCGACCTTGAGTATATATACAGCACGACGGCGCATGCACTGTCAGCTGTTGAATGTTCTCGAAGCGCGACGCCACATGCGCGTCCACTGGAGAATCAGGAGAATTGTAGATGTCGAACGCGGTGTGTAGAGGAGGAAGGGTGCACAGATGGTGGAGGAGTGAAGCGCGCGCGGTGTGTAGAGGAGGAAGGGATGCACAGATGGTGGAAGAGTGGGCGACGGCGCGACGGCGCATGCGCGCGCGTCAGCTGTCGAATGTTCCAGAAGCGGTGCGGACGGCGCGGACGGCGCGGACGGCGCACTACAAGGCGCGAGTATAAGATGCTCCGCATCTAAAAAGAATTATCGGTTAAGAAGAAAGTGAAGGAAACGGAGACTGACATGTGGAGAATTGGCATGATTAAGAAGTAGGCACTAGAGATCTATCGAACTTTTAAGCAGGAAATTGCCAAGCAAAGGATCTATTATAATACTCGGGGTAGTTCTCTACTGTTTGAGGCCAGGACGGGAGTATTGCGAACCAAGACATATCGAGCCAAATAGGAAGGGCCAGACATGGTATGCAGTGCATGTGTAGAGGAGGAAGAAACTGCCGAACACTTGATAATGTTCTGTAAAGGGCTTCACCCTACAGTTCAGGATGATATCGCAGAGTTTTTCAAAGCACTGGGGTTTAGGGACAGGGAGGGCAAAATAGACTTTAGGCGGGTAGAATTAACTAGAAGAAGGTTATCTGATTGGTGGCTAAAGTCTAGGCACGAGTGAAAATTAAACCCTTCACAGCAAAGTACCAGTCCTCAATCTCACTATTTAAAGGGGAAAAAAAGAGAAATCTAGTTTTTGGTTCACTAAGTATTACGGTTTGGTGGCGTTAGCCACCGCCTGATCTAAAGGATACAGCCATATCAATCCATCCATGCATCCATGCTAAGGAAATTGTGCAGCCGGGTTTTTTGTTAACGGACGTCTTACGAGCAGCCTTAACAGCTTCGTTGTTAATGAAACAAAGGATGCATTATAAACCAGAGAGAGAGAAGGACAGGGAGGGTAACAAGTTTGAAATAACTGGCATGGAATAACACTACAATGCGGAAAGACGGGGAAAGTTTACCATCATCCGTGGGTGCCCTGAGTCCCGACATGGTGCGGTGTTTGTTCTTGATGCTGGCCTCGGCGCTGCTGGTGTTCAGGACGTGCGACAGAGAGACCATGCACCGCAGGTGCATGCGCTCATCCTCGAAATGCTCTGGCCGCACTCTGAAGCGCAGACCGAGGGACGCAGCGTACCTCGGGTATCTCTGCAACTCGTACCTCACCAGGTACTCGGACGGGCCTGCAAGCGGGAACAGTGACTCTGATGTTCATTGTACTCGACCGAGTACATAAAGATATGCAACAGGCTAACGAGTCATGGAGGCCACATAGAGGCCAAGGGTGACTGCACACAGGGCAAGAGAAGCTTGGGTATTACTGTCAGTCCAAGCGCATGAATAAACAGAAAGAAAGGACGCTTGAACGTGCGCTTGAACTGACAGTTATACCATGCATATCCAATGAGCCCAACTTTCGATTCTGTTGCAGGAGAAGCTTTGATCACGTCAGAGAAAACACACGTAATCGTATTCCTATGAGTAGACTTTCAAAGTACGTTGAGCTCGGCGCCTATATGGTGGTAACATTTCATTATACAAGACACAGTTGACCTGAGGAGCAGTTATTAAGGAGTAGCCATTGCGTAGCTAGCATGACTATGAAAACATGAAGAGGGCTGTCAATAATGACAGATAGATATAAGTTGTCTCATCAACAGTTGGGACCTCCAACAAAATTATTGCGACAAAAGAAAAAAAGAACGAGAATGCATTTATTAATTACCATCTGTCGCCCCTATACTAGAAATAAGAGTTCTTGAACATGCTACAGAAGACCAAATTGATGGTTGCGGAAACGGGACATTATGAAGAGTTAACTTATTTATTAATTTGTATTCGCTAAACGTAGGGATATTATCACTCTGGCTCTGTCAAGAAGAATTCTAAATGAAGCTGGGGATGGTGAAAAATTGTAACTGCAGACGTTAAAGCTAGTTGATACCTAATTGCACTAATTCATTATGCAATGAAGAGGAAGACAAGAGAGTCATGGCATCTAATCCTTTCCACGGCGAAAACGCTTTGAAGCGAAAATGCTCGATGGTCGTGTACTTGGATATATGGCCCTATTAAATAACCCAGGTACTCAAAATTTCCGGAGCCCTCCACAACGCCGCCAACAACAATTATATCATAGTTTCAGGACGTTATCTTTCGCAATTATTGTCAGGAATCAAGAATGATAAAATGTTCTGTGTTGAACTTACCTCTTTGTCGTTTATGAACCACGTCAACTCCGGTGGCGTGTCGTACTCTGCCGATCTGCAGGTCAAGTTCACGAGTTCGTTGATCAAATATTTTTGCTTGCCGCCCTCGATCACTGGACTGTCGGGACTCTTTTCTGCAGTCGCCGATCCCAGGAAGATTGTGGTGGCACAAATAAAATAAATGAACAAATACTCGTAAGAGAATGCAGTCTACAATAATCAATCGGATGTAACGTGCCACGCAAAAAAAAAACATAATATGTAATTTCAGCACTGTTTGGTTGTTAATATAATTGTCCCATTAAAAATTATGTAGAGGCAAACTTTCTAAAATTTCACAAGTGTTCAAGATTCAGCGAGTTTATTTGTCGTATATTTGAACTCGTATAGCACATTACGTCAAAAAGAAAGAAACGCCCGAGTGGACCGACACAAGAGTGCTAACTTCCAACTGAAATTTAGAAGTGTGGCAGTTTGGGCGTCTCTCATAATCATATGGTGGTTTTGGAACGTTAAACCTCACATATCAATCAGAACACAACGATGACCTTCTTGTCTCTTTCTCGTTGCTCTGATATCGCGATATAACTATCGTTCTAACTGAAAGTTGGAAGCTAGCGTTTTTTTTTTCTCTTGGGTCAGTGTGCTTATCCGTTTCTTCTTTACTGTAATGTGCTATACCAGTTCAAGTATTGCCATAATTGTTATTTATTACCTAATAAAATTGCTTAGTATATATAATCATAATAGCCCCAGAACTGATTGAGAAGAAAGTTTACTTATGTTGATTATTTAGTGGCCTAAATGACACATTTGCATCTTCAAGTATTTCTCTGAAACAACACAAAAAAGTGGCTTACTCTGCTAGACAATCACTCGCGATTTCGCCTAACAAATCTTAACAGTATCTTGTATTAGGCAGACGTCACTTGCTCTGAGGCAAAGCTTTGAAGAACATTTTGTCAAGTTCACCTAGCGTGACTAAAACTTTCGCGCATTTCAACACGCGCTCCGATAAGATGATGCAGTGATCTCAGTAATTTACCTGGGTACGGTATGGATGGCTCCGTGTTTCCAGCAATGAGCTCTTCGCTGGACGTGAGATACACTTCGGAGATGACGCTCACGCACTTCAGTCGCAGCCAGCTGCCCGCCATGTGGTGCGGTCGCAGGGTGAACGACAGCACAGCGCCCGAACTCTGCAGTCCCTCCGAGTCGTACAGGGTCTCCAATTCCCGCACGTCTGTGAACGGAACCTGCGCCAACGAACGATGCCCCCACGTGTCTTTATCAAGTGTTAAAAGCTAGACAAAACATTCAAATTATCATCTCTCGCCAGGTCTTTCATAGGTTTACATTTTGGGTCTATGCACCCTTTACCTTCGTGTGAACGATGATGGCTGAGAATAGTCATCCCATCGCCCTTCGCTCCATCCACTGTAAGTTTGGCACTTTTCATGGGCTGAATACACCAAACCTTTTCATTTAGCTTTCATATACTGCAAAATGCCGTTCTACTGGATAAATATATGAGCACTTTAAAAGCTCTAAGTCGACAAGCGAGTACCTAAATCCTGTGTCAATACCTTAGACGATATCTACAGAGGCACCAGAGCTACTTTAGTTGATTACAAGAAAAGCGAAAAAATTGCGATCAACAAAGGACTCTGTCAATTGGATACCTCACCCAACGATGCCTACCACCTGCTTGGAGTGTTTAAACACCTAGAATGGGAAGAAAATGTAATCGAGGTGAACGGAGAATGGCTCAACAACCTGCGCTGCGTAGTTTTTATAGGGCTCTTCAGCAACAATAGCAGCGAATCGAAAAAATTCATTGACGAAATAAATCGCAGAATTACTTTAAGTAGGGGTCAAAATAAGTTGACGAAGACAAAGATAATATAAATAGCCTGGCTATTCAAGAAGACTTCTATATCGAAAATCGTACATAGGGGTGTATACAGGAATATATATACCCGAGACAACTACTCGAAGCTACTGCTCACTGAAGAACCTAATCACACGCACACACAAAAAAAGAATTCACCGAAAAATACCAATAGGCTAGAACGCTTTCGACATGAATTCCCAAAAAATTGAAGGAAATCTGACACTGCCATTTACTGCCATTACTGCCAGTTCTAATGTGTGGGGTTCAAACATGGGGAAGTAACAATACAACTAGAGCAAAAGCTGAGGGCCACGCAACGTGCAATGAAATGTGAAATAGTGAGAAAAGCATCAAGAGATTGGAGGACGGCAAAAGGAGTTGAGGGATCGACGAGTGTTTCTGATATCTCAGTTGACATACATGGTCCTCGGCGGACCACGTGGTGCATCGAACGGACAATCGGTGGATAATGAGGGCAGCAGAATGGTTACCAAAAGATGGGGAACGCAGTTTAGGGCCCAGAGTTAGAATGAGTGGTGAAAGTAAGTTCGCAGGGATAAAATGTTATCGGTTCGCACAGGATAGGGTGAACTGGGTGTCAGTGGTAGAGACATTTGTTTTGCAGTGGACAAGAGCAGGCTCATAGTTATGAATAATGTGTTGCAAACGCCCAAACAAACGTGCTTAGTCCTCTATAGTTCTAGTCCCCTCCCAATACGTTTTTTACAATGTGGCTGCAGGCTATTTTCATGCGATTTATGTACAAGCCGTGAGCCATTTGCGCAACAGTCGATCTAGTTCTTTTGCGGAGTTCATAAACGGCCTCAGCGATCTATAAGACCAGTATTCAAGCTTGGTAGTTGGGAGCTTCTCTTATGGCCACCTAAATCTTTGAAAAAGGGAGGGGGGGGGGGTGACTATTGCGTATCTATCTATCTATCTATCTATCTATCTATCTATCTATCTATCTATCTATCTATCTATCTATCTATCTATCTATCTATCTATCTATCTATCTATCTATCTATCTATCTATCTATCTATCTATCTATCTATCTGTCTGTCTGTCTGTCTGTCTGTCTGTCTGTCTGTCTGTCTGTCTGTCTGTCTGTCTGTCTGTCTGTCTGTCTGTCTGTCTGTCTGTCTGTCTGTCTGTCTGTCTGTCGTTCTGTCGTTCTGTCTGTCTGTCGTTCTGTCTGTCTGTCGTTCTGTCTGTCTGTCTGTCTGTCTGTCTGTCTGTCTGTCTGTCTGTCTGTCTGTCTGTCTGTCTGTCTCGTGACCAGTCTCAATATCCTTGTAGCAGGGCGGTTCGAAATAGTCATGACTATTTTGACTATGTGCATAAGCGCTCAACGCCGCCGCGGTGTTCTAGTGGCTAAGGTACTTGTCTGCTGACCCGCAGGTCACGGGATTGAATCGCGGCTGCCTCGGCTGGATTTTCGATGAAGGCGAAAATGCTGTAGGCCCATGTGCTAATAATCGGGTGCACGGTTAAGAATTTCAAGTGGTCGAAAACTCTGGAGCCCTCCACTAAGGCGCTTCATAATTTTACGGTGGTTGCCGGACGTTAAACCCACATATCAATTAATCAAATCAATAAAGCAGAAACGCTTATCCATTTTCCCTAACACTTACCTCTTGGTCGTTTACGAGCCATACGAGCTTGGCAGCTGGGAGTGAGTAGGGTGCTCTGCAAGAGACATCAACGCGCTCGCCGACACCGTACTTGGATCGCGTGCCTCGAATGGTGGGCGGATGATCTGGAATCACTGTAAAAAAAAGAAAAATGTAAAAAATGCAGGTTAAAGGGAAAGAAAAAAAGCACGTGATTTGCACGAGACGTCTGCCCACTTGGCTTCTCTTCACAAAATGGCCAAAAAATTGTATTAGAGAGAACGTTAGTCTAGTCTGTGCACAGGTGTTCTTTTGCTTGTTATTTACGTGATGCAGTGCATTGCATTTACAAACTTCAAGTTATTTCTGTCTAGCACAAATGGTAGTGCTCATTTACTCATGCTATATTGTGCACATGCCACAGTTCTTACGAACTTGGTTCTCGGCATGAACAGTAACTGCCAAGTTCACAATTAATGACCTCCGGCTGGTTGGCAGTCTTTCGGTCATCCGAGCCATAGAACACCCTTTATAGAGCAATATTCTGTAAGCTTGAATGAGTCCATGTGAAATAAAGCTTGCGAACAGTCTATTGCCAACGATAAAAAATTAAAATGAAAGTGGTACCGTTTGAACAAGCCTAGATACATATGTATGCAGAGACCTCTAATTAGCTTAATTTTCATTGCACAACATCGTATCGTATTTCGCTCATCGATATCCAACTTCGAGGGTGACGATATTTTTCACCCAGCGTTAAAATTAGTCATAAAGTTAGCGTTTTACCACTGCTTTAGTACATATAGAATTCAAGCGCTTACGAGTATTATGTGCTATTTGAAAACATAAGCGTTAGAATTTTCACTGTTTCTAAAAAAAAGCATTGCGTGAAAAACGCAGCACACTATAGACAGAGACGACGACACCTGCGTTGTTTGCTGTGAACAATACACCAACTAACCCATAAATGTTGGGTGCTGAATTTTCCGAGTGTTTATTTTGCCAACATATAGTTGCTCCACGAGCCTGGCCGATGTATTGGCGTTAGGGAACTATTCCTAAATGCTATTGTGGTCGTTGTTGACTGACCAATCTGTAAATGGTAACGTAATTTCACGAAGAAACAGACTTCCGTATGTCACTTCGGCACAATGCGCCGGGACGTGAATATAAACAGAGAGGTAAAAAGAACAAAAAAGCCCGAGCTGGCGAAAGCAAACTTCGCGCCATCGAGGAACAAAACAAGGAACTGCGATCAAAGTACATGCAAGGCGCAACGGCTCAAAACTCAATTTCCACACGCTACATTAGGTTCGCGATCGCGATTAAGCAAAGTGCCCACCCAAGAAAACTCGTTCGAGCGACTTAGCTCTCTAAGAGCACTATAAAACAGCGCGTACGAGTTGGAGGGCTTTGGAATCTCGTCTTACCCAGTTTTCATCACTTATTTTTTTTTTCTCGGTGTCCCAACTTTGTCGTATCTGCGTGGTGTCGCGTTCAGATGCAAATTCCGGGGATCTGAGAGATGTAATACAAACGTGAATTTCGTTACAAGAGAAAGAGAGGCCGAGACAACCGTTGTACCGCGTGCCAAAGTGACATGCAAAAATCAGAAGTTATTAGGGGACCGCGGAGCGGCGGCTTTGAACCTAGCTACTGTGACGAGAAAGGATAAGAAAGAACAGAACAGAAAGAAAGTTGTTCTGGGTTGAGAGGTCTTCCGGACATTGATGAAAGTATAATATAAAATGGGAAAGGGTGCTCAGTGGAAGTGGACGAAAAGCGAAGCTCACCATTTGCGTATGTTTTCGTTTTTTTTTCGTTTCTTTATACTCGTTCAATGTACTTCCGCTTCCCGTACAAAGGCGAATTCCCTTTTTCATCTTTCTCCGAGGACGAGAGGAGGGCTCCTTTAGACTCTCGCGGTTTTTTTGCCACGGCGCTGCTTTCTCGCGCGATCCCCGTAAATAATCAAATATAGCGTCAAAGACATCGACTCTCTGCGAGTAAAATACACTAAGTTATAACAAAAAAATGAATGCAACAAAAAAAAAAAGGAAACGAGAAAAGGCCAAATAGCAGCAAAAGTTCCCGGCAATCTCCACCCAGCAAGAATTCACGTCCCTAAAGCAGAACTGAACTTGCAGCTTTGAACGCCGTCGAGCTTTTTTTTTTTTTTAATTCATGCGCTCACTGACCTGCGCGTCTGTCTTCGGCCCCTTACTGTATCTGTGGCACTCCGCCGCGGTAATGATTCGTACCGCGAAATGAAGCAAATATGCGTAGAGGCACCGCAAAAAAATGGACATATTCAAATGACCGCACCGCTAACCACGACGACTTTCGGAGCCAGTGCGTATGCGGCGGCTGTGGTTGCTGCGGCAAAATAAAAAATACGGGAACGGAAGATAAATTGCTGACTGCTGCAGGAAATGTGGGACGGTCAGATAGATGCTGTGCAAAGTCATCGTCTCGCGAAACCTCGCAACGATTACACGATGATAAGAACATTGCGAACTTTCGAATGATTTTCTTTTTTTTTTCTGGATGCGTGCTCTGTATAAACTACACCCCGAGATCTCTTAACAAATGGACGCCGTCTAGCTGGAGGCCCATGGACCGTGGTAGCGGTTTCCTTTTGCTGGCATTCGTTCGTCGGTATAAGGTTGCAGAAACCGTGCTCTCTCACACACAGCGCGTGTCATAGTGGCTATGGGGCTCGACTGCTCACCCGAAGGTCATGGTACAGAAAACTGGCAATGGCGGCCCAATTTTTTGTGGAGCGAAAGTGCTAGACACCCATCTACTTATATTTAGGTACACGTTACCCACAAGTACTCATAACTTACGGAGCTCTCCACAACGGCTCTCTACTACGCTCATGATTGTAGCGCTTTTTTGGGATGCGAAATCCCAACAATTATTTGAAACCTTGCTATTCATATACTCAATTATTAGAAACAGTTTAACAGAGAACGTGGCTTCTCTGTCCTCACAACTGGTGTTTCCGGGCTCAAAGTTTGCAATTGAGTCATTTACCATGGTCTACCTGTTGCATGGCATTGAGAAACATTTCGATATCAGAGACATAAAGTTGCTCAGACATGCTGGAACACAACGAATAAAACATAAAAAAGGAGAGTCCAAGAAACTTTATTTCGTGGTGGTTGTTGTTTGATAACTGCCCATATACAGGAAGACCGGCTATACTATTATATAATTGGTGAGGTTCGCCAATGTGAACAGTTTACACGTGTACGAATCCTATTTTCAGTAACTTTGGTCAGTCTACTCGGAGATTCAAACTTGGGCCCAGCATTCCGCTGGACCGCTCGCTTTATAACATCGGAAATGAACAGCTAGAAAGTGAGAAGACCGCAGCTTGATGGCAAATCAGTCGAGAACTTGAAGCACACAGACACCAATTATGGCAACTCAGTATTGCATGAGCCTGACAGGCGAAGAAAAAGTAATTGAGAAATTGATATATTTATTGTTCATGTATCTTTGTGTTATTACTTATTGTACACCAATACTTCTCTTTCACAAAATACCAGCAGTTAGATTTTTGACCATTCTAACAGTAGTGTCACTCACGTGTCACATAATCCTAAAATGACTCATAACACATGAAAGGGTTGAATGTCAATAAGAATGAATGGTGAAGTCATGCAAATGAGCTCAGGATACGATGGTAGAAAAGTGCAAAAAAATAACACCTGGTATATGGAGGAGAACAGTACTTTTTTTTTCAGGAAGGGCTATTGCCACTAATAAAAAATTACTAGTTCTGCAAAAAAGAGTTTTCCGAGCATTCCAGCAATACCATGGTATTATGAGGGACTTGAAAACCAAACCACTCTTTGAAAAATACGCATTACTAACAATAACAAAACTATATTATTTCAAACTTCTGCAGTTGATTAAACAAAACAAGCCACAGTGTCCTCAGAACCAGCCGGACAACACTCATTATACTATGCGTCAGCAACGCCGGAAAATCCCAGCAATAACGACAAGTTATGGCAAGCAACACGTTCAGTATCAAATACCCACAATGTTAAATCTTTTACACGGTCTCATAGATTTCACTTCAGTACGTTCGAACACCATCATCAAGTCCATCCTAATGAACCATGATATTGAGTATGCTCATTAAAGTTTCAGTACTTGATTTGTTACATCCTATCTATCAATTTGAGTTATGTGTTGTAGTTTCTTTTCTTATGCTTTATTTTACATTCTGTATTGAAGTTTGTTTTCAGATGACGCTTTTGTGATAATGTGATTTTCTAATGCTTTCCCTGAAATAGTGTGACAAGACCATGCTAAATTTTGTTGTGTTATGGTTTATTTATTGTGTTATTTATTTATTTCTGTGTGTTATTTGTTCTGTTATATATTTATTTCTGAAAACATATAGGACAGGTTGAGCGGCCTGCGTGCCAAACTGTATTTAGGAGCGGAGGCCCCATGTCAGGCTATATAGCCTTTAGCCTTTGCTCCTGATCCTGTAAGAATTTCAGGAAAAATAAACTTCAAATCAATTCAATACGTTCCTTTTATCGAATAGGTATTGCAACAGTCAGAGTTCATATTGTTTGCTGGAGTAATACGTCACAAAATCATGCTGTGACTATGAGCGACGTCTTCATGCAAAAATCCGGAAATTCCGACCATCTGGTGCACTAACATCCCACAGTAACGAGCCTCAGTCAAGTTCACCTCCATCAAAATGCAACCACCTCGACGGAGATCGATGATTCATTTATGATGATTGATATGTGGGGTTTAACGTCCCAAAACCACCATATGATTGTGAGAGACGCCGTAGTGGAGGACTCCTGAGATTTCAACCACCTGAGGTTCTTTAGCGTGCACACAAATCTGAGCAAACGGGCCTACAAAATTTCCGCCTCCATCGGAAATGCAGCCGCCGCAGCCGGGATTTGATCCCGCTACCTGCGGGTTAGCAGCCGAGTACCTTAGCAACTAGACCATCGCAGCGGGGCACCTCGACTGAGATCAAACACGTGAACTTAAAGTCAGCGACAGGGCACCGTTACAGCTACCCTATTGCGGCGTACAGTGGTGCACGGAATTTCAGCAATCGTGCAGTACGGCAAGACAGCCTATGCCACTTTACATGGGCTGC